GATACAGTTTCTAATGAATATAGTGGAACTTCTCCAAAAGAGGCAGCCTTGAGAAAGTACTTTCCCACTGTCGGATCGCGACTAGAAGCAGCTTGGGTCCTCCCGGACTGCTAGATCCCATGGGGCATAGGGGATTCCGTGCAAAGCAAGTTCAGTTTAGTGTAAACATTGATCTACTATTCCTAAGTTGTGGGACAACAGAGACTGCTAAGCATATTGTACAAACCTGTACCTCCTATGAGTCAGTCAGGGCAAGCTGTTGAGAGAGACGCCTCTACATCCTTACATTTCAATGATAACAGGTGTATTGATATTGGTAAATAGAAATTTTCAAATTATACAAAAACTAAGTTATACCACTCTGAAACAAATACTCTACTACCACCAGGCTTAAAAGTAAAATGAACAACTTTTTCTATTTTAGATGCAATATGCAATATCTACATTATGGTAAGAGGTAAACCATTTCATAAAAAATATTTTATATCAATGATCAGAAATGAATCAGTTGATCGAGGATCAAATTTTGAACTATTTAAATTTGTAATAATAGTGGATTTATAATAGTTGGTGTTGTCCAAAATCAGTCTTGGTCATGCACTTTGCAAGATCAAGACCGGAAAAAAAAATCCCTTTTATGTAGAAAAATTAAGGTAAAATAGTCACTAAAACTTGAAAAATTGAGTTGCCATATGTAAAGAAGTGGTATAACCAATATCATTTGGAATTTAACTCTCAATTTTTCATTTGGGCTTAGTTAGGTTTTCCGTATCTGAAAAATTACAGTAATTTCAGACGTCTCATTTCTCTATTCACTAGTTTCATTTTGCTGTGGAGCACAAAATATACTTCAGAGAATTCGTTGTTTACATTGAACAAACTTTGGATCATTATTCTTTCTATAATCTATTCTTACACCACAGAAAGAACCTTAAAAGTAAATAATGATGTTGCTTTTACAACCCTCATTTCTTAGTCTGCCTGTGTTCCTTAACAGGGGTGCCCAGAAGGGAGTTTCATGCCACAAGTTGCGCCATCAAAATTTTTAAGGAGGCACATGTTGACTGGATTTTGAATTTTTGAGTGAAAAGTTTCAAAACAGAGAATTGGGAAGAAACATGGGACATACCACTCCAGGTATAATTGTATATGATCTTGGAATTGTCTAATCTTACTTTCGCTTGCATTGCTTTTAAGAAGGGGAGTGAAATACAATTTTTGGAGAGAGGGGGATGGTTCATATAATTGTATATGATCTTGGAATTGTCTAATCTTACTTTCGCTTGCATTGCTTTTAAGAAGGGGAGTGAAATACAATTTTTGGAGAGAGGGGGATGGTTCATACGCCATCGACCTTGGAGGGGATGGGCACCCCTTAAATAGATGTACAGGGAAAGTTTGAACTAATTAATATATTTTACTAATTGAACTAGCGTAATGAATGAGAGAGTTGAGAAAAAATATTACGGGAAAAAGATAAGGATAATTTTGGTTATTTTTCTAGAGGGGAGGGCATACAGAAAAAATTTCAATAGAACCTCATTCATCTTTAATAATCTGCATAGACTTTAGATAAAGATATTTTTCCAATCATGTATTTCAACTTTGAAATTATTTTCATTTTTTATATCAAAAAATAATTATAGGCTAGGAAAATCTTAATCTTGGTATCATCCAATTCTCCAAACATGTTAGAACAAATGAATACATTTTCAAGAATTTAGTTCAATAAATACTACTTTACTTAGAGAAGCAAAGATGCAAACATGCTAGTTCCAGCTCAAATTTGTTTCCAAAAAAGTTCGAATCTCTTACTTTCAAATATGAAACTGCTTATTATAAGTAGGTAAAATTTGACACTTTTTTCTTATGTGTGTATTCGCTTCCTAAATATAAAATTTTCATTAAAAACTGTACTGGGTGTCCTGACCCACCCCTGTATGATATGGAAAGGAATGACCCATGGTATTTATTCCATTTAATAAAGTAGAATTTTTATTTATTAAGAAGTAAAGCACTAATTTTTAAAAATATTCTTTATAGTTTGTGTAGATTCAAGAGTTTTTCTAAATTTATGTGTTCTTGGTTAATTTTTGTAATATGGTAATTTCTAATTTCCATATTTCTTAATTCTATTAAGTTTTCTGTGAAGACTTTACACGTAAATTAAGAATACAACAATTTTTATGAATTGAAACTGTAACATAGAAGCACTGGTTGCAAAAGTGGTGTAAGTAATTTTTATAATAAATAATTAATTAAGTATTAAGTGCATTAACTGATTGGATATGCTAGAGACAGATTATTTTTAACAAATAAATTGAATTTATTTATTATTAATTTGTTGAATTTCTCCATAAAATTTGATTAATTCAAAACTTCAGTTTTTTACTTACACCATTTTAGTATTCAATGGCTCATGTAGTGTACTAAAGAAAAATCCTTGTATTTAAGTGAATTTTCCTGATAAGTTTTTAAAGAGATAAATTATGATTTGTTGAAGAATTTCTTTAAATGATTGTTATGCAATGATCAAAGATCAACAATACCTCCGAGTGAGGTTGTCACCTACCTCAGCATTAAGATTTGAAAAAAGTTCGAAGTGATAGCTTATTTGGACTATTTGAAAAGTAGAGTGACCATAGCCCTTAACAGATTCAGTTGTATAGAGGGCACCTTTTGGGGTCTCAGATGCCTAGAAACTGTGAGCATTTATAAAGGTTTTATTTTGAGTAGCCCCTGCCTGAAGTCAAAATGGCTCTGCTTCAAGTCACCAGATCGTACAGGATGGTGTCCATAGTATCTCCAAGTGAAAATAGAAGAAGATCGTAGGAGTTGGAAAAGGATTATCTGGGAGGATACAGTAGAAGAGTGGAACTGGGGGTGGTTGACAACTCCAAAAGGAGCAACCCTGAGAAAGTATTTTCCCACCATCGCATCGCGACTAGAAGCAACTTGGGTCCTCCCGGACTACTACACCTCTCTCCCTTTCTGAATATCATCATTTTAAACTCTTCCCGATTAAATGTAAATTCCATTAATCACAATAGTTTTATAAATCTATAATCATAAGTTGAAGTCTATCTGCCATAAAAGCAATGAAGGCTTAAGTACACACTATCCTAATGATATGACATTCACTCCTCCTGCAACACAATCCTCTATATCATTAATGTACCCACTGAAAAGAAATATACTAACATTAAATTGGTTATTTGTGAAATGACAAATGTGCTATTTTTAAGATACAAATGTATGGATAAACAATCAATCTTTACATTAGTTATGTAATGTGTTTTCTGTTACTAAAAGATGCTTCTGCGAATAATGCACCCTGAACAGCTCTCAACTCAAAAGTGGTATAAATGTGTCATTTTTTAAAATAACCTATTCAATTATTCCCTAATAATAATAACATATTATTATGTGATATACAATTTTAATGTTTACAATAATATACATTATTCCCATACTGTATCCCAAATAATATTTCAAGGAGTTCTGTCAATCCTTATTGACTGCACTGCTTGTTTAAGGTTTAAGCTCGTTATTATTTTAACAATTTTGATTGCTATCCCTGTGTGACAATTTGTTAACATAAGGGTCCCTAGTAGTGAACTGTATGTTATAGTTCTATTAATATTGCAGATAGCAAAATATAATCAAACAAAGATAACATGTCCTTATTTTCTTTCTCCTGCAAATTTAAGTATAATATATAATTATAGATAAGATTTTAATTAGGAATATATTTCCTAAATGCTGCCTATATTCTTTAACTTGTTATTGGGATATTTAATGGTAAGACAATAATTTAACTATTGGGTTTCAAATTGAATGCCATGTAATTCATTGTGTCATTCTTATCCTCTACTTTTTGAACTGGGGAATATGATGGATAAATAAATAGCTATTAGGTGTTTCTCCCATTTTCAAAGTCTTTATTAATAGAATTGTGTATGTTGTTTTAAGGTAAAACATTGGCTGTTTTTTATTTTCAATACATTTTAACTTTAATTAAACTATTTATTATTTCATTTATTTCTTTTAATCAATGAAACTGAAACTAAAGCATGAACAAAAATCATTTCTGACAAAAGTAATCGAAATGCAACTAACAGTTGAGATTAAATGCAAATGAAATTAATGACTGGAAAATGATGATGGGGAGAATGGTAGGATTTTCAAAGGAAATATGTAGGTAGAGGGAACTAGGAACTGGATACTGTCAAAAATTAAGTTGAGTGCAGGATGGTGGGGTAGTCGCGGGAAATTTCAAAAAGTAGGGGAAAGGAGAAGAGTAGTGGCGGGCCAACAACTATAGGCGGGTAAATCTAACCTAAATAGGAACTATCATTGAGGATAAGCGCCCCCACCCCAGCCCAAAAAGCTGCGGGCATGATGTAAACTATTACCATTTCGGAATGTAAAGCTTATTCCGAAATTGTAATTAATTTGTTACCAATTATGTATAAGTGATAATAAATAAGTAATAAGAAGAAGAAAAGCAAACTTTAAATTAAGCATTTAAAAGCAAAACTTCCATCTTAAATTTCTAATGTATGATAAAATATTACGTAAAGGAATCCTAAACGAATTCTAAATAATAATCATTAATTTAGTAAAACTTGAATTCTCACCCTTAATTTGAAGAACGGCATTAGCCATACTGATATCAAGCCAAAAAGTTGTGACAGTGTTTGGTATAATTCATCAAGTTATTGTTTATTTATTTATTTATTAAATTTTTATAATTATGAAAAAACTAGGTATGATCTTGCGGTTTCATTGAATTATTAGTGTTCAATTTATTATTATTACTATATTACAACACTGCATAAATAAAAGTACTATCCAATGAGCTGTTGGTCTATCGACCGCAGCCCCGGGAAACTTCAAACTGTTTATAACTAATTGGTATAACCTATCTCAGTATTTTATTTAATTTTCTTATCCTCATATTAAAACACTCAAAATGGTTTTTCTAAAGGCAGTTTAGTATGTCAGTTTTAAGGAGATTTCCGGGATTAATATTCACACATAAATTTAAATGCTTATTTGTTCTTTTTCTCAGTATTGTATGTTTCATAACTTTGTATTCTTGGAGAATCATTTGTTCAAATTTGGAATCATGGGATCGAGTTACATCTTTGGTTCGTAAAAAATAAAATCAAAAATTTTTAGACTAAAAATTATTTTGATTATAACATTGAAATTTTATTTATTATTTTGAATTAGTGCAGCCAATACAAAAAAGGAAAAATATCTGGAGACCTTTGTCCAAAATTATGTGGGGAAGGTTCAGTGGTTTCATTAGCATGCCAAACTTTACATTCTGGGAAGGATATAATATTCTCAGCTACATTAAAAGATGGACTTAATATAGTAGTTAAATCGTCTCAGAATACTGAGCCTCAGGATATATTTTATTGGATTGATGATGCAGGAGAGCACTATCCTACTGATGACTTCTTCAGAAGTTTGGTCGAAAATCGAATTCAGGCCCGGTAGGTACTTGGAAAATTATATAGAAATTTTAACTCAGAACATGATTTTTTTTCTTACGGTTGTAAATAAGATTACTCTTTCAATGTATTGTAATATACATATTAATATATTATCAATCATTATAGAATTTATATTTTCACTGTAATCAATATCGATGTTGCATGTTTTGAATTTACATTCTAACATTTTTTTAGATTAAATATAACTTTGAGTGAGCATGATCTTGAGAGAATTATAAGGTATCCAAATGGGCAGCATTTTCCTGTTAATAGCAAAGCTCGCCGAATCGAAATGAAAGAAATATGGAGGCTTCTACAGGATAATGAGTATCTTATATCAATGGTATATGCTGGACGGGACATGTTTCCAAAAATTACTGGAATTTGTGGCCATTATTTCGGTACTGAATATCTGAAACCAGCAATGGACGGAGATCTAGTCAAAGTAATGCAGCTTTGTAAAATTATTTATAAATAATACAACATTGTACCATAATTAGATAAGTCACAACATTTAATTTTTTTTTTAATTTATAGATTGTAAGCAAGGAAACCGAAGATAACTGGGCTAATCGTGTGCATCTAGCTGTCATGATATTAGATTTAGTTGAACAGATTGATGGTGATAACTTGGTGCTATGTGATGTTAAACCAAACCATTTTGGTATTAGTGGTGAAGGCAAACTTAAAGTAAGTTTGAAGTTAATATACTTGTCAAGCATTTGCAAATTTAGGATTTAATTTTGGAGGGGACTGTTTTTTTTTTTCATTTTAAATAACAGTAATCACAGGCACAATAAAGCTTTTAAGAATAAAACTATAATTTTTCCTTGGCAGGTGCTTATATTTATATTTAGCCTAAGTACATGTTAAAATTTAAAAAGAGAATATATTGTAATTGTTTAAGTAATTGGCTTAGTTCACTCATAATAACAAAATTAAACGAATAAAATAGTTTTTTCCTTTATTTTGTGAGTGAGGGGAGGGAAGGGAGAGTGGCTTCAACATGAAGGCCTCTCCCCCTTCCTTCTGAATCTACTAGTGCTGTCAAGGGCTATTAAATTCACTGTTAACGACATACCTCCAGATTCCTTAATATGAAATGTAAAGGAAATGGAAGTGGAACAAGCCTACTACAGTTTTAAGTTGATTTTAGGATAATATTTAAATGTAACTACTGATGAATTAATCTCTTTGATAGTAAATAAACATATTTACATTAGCTTTTAATAAGTTTTTCTTCTAGATATTAGACTTGGATGTAACATTTCCAAGAGCTATTGCTAATGCCATTACCAAAAGTGGAAAAAATTGTGAATTTGACTCAGACTGTCATTTGTTTGATTGTCATTCTGTCTGCAACAAAGAGAAAAAGATTTGTGATGCCCCAGTGATGAATTCTAACTTACAAGTAATAAAAAAAACTGCTTTTTATGTATTTTAAATATTTTTTAAACAAATTATTAGTAGCTATTTCCCTTATAACATTTTTTGTTTCTTGTCATTTAATAATAATCTATTTTTCTTTTTAAGTAATTTATCAGCATTCCTACAAACATAAGATTCTGTTGCAGATAGTCTGCGAGAAAATATTACTCGGTTGGGCCATGCCAGGAGTCATGGTTCCAGGGCTTCTGATGACCTCCTCTACACCTTCAGGTCTAGCTTCACTTCTAAGGCAGTGTGCTCATGGTGCTGGTGGCCCTCAATTTGACTCGGATATAGCTACACGATTAACTCATACTTTGGCTGAAATGGATGCACACTTGCAAAACCTAATCAAATAGTTTTTTTAAAAACCTGTGAAATACAAAAGAGCATAGCACATTAGATCAGCCATTAAGATGTAGGTTCTTTTACGAAATATTACAGTATGTCATTGCTCATTACTAGCCCTACACTACTTTCATGTGTTGTGATTTTATATAGCAATATTTTCTGAGGGGTATTATTTTATATAGGTTTAATAAGTCGAAGATGTTGAAATGTTAACACAGATAGCCATTTTTTAATATGATTCTTAGAATGGAAAAATGTATATTTGCATTTGCTTCATTATTAATGTATAAAATAAAATAATTTTTATAAAAATGTTTTTCAGTAATTTCTTTCCTTTGTTTTTCCTTAGAGAATGTTATAACCATTTAATTAAGTTAAATCATTAATGTTAAAGTATAAGATGGTTTAACTATTATGCTTCATATGCCTTTCCAGTAAGTTGTTGAGGTTATGTTTGGTAATCTTTTTAAATATCTAGGTTCAAGTATGAGACTTTTTTTAAATTTGTTATGGATCCTAATAGCATATAATGAAAAGCCGCGGTACACACAAGCTTTCACAATATTCCTATAGTTTATATTCCTACTTTTGAGGTAAAAAAAAGACGAGCATGGGTAAAAATGAGTAATTATATATCTAAGGCTATAATTATTTTAGGCTATGATAGTTTTGGTAAAAAAACAAATTATTTATGATAGCTTTAAAAATTAAGTAAAAACAACCTAATACCGCTCTGGAACATTGCAAATTTAGCATTGTTAAGGAACTTCTTTCATAAATCACTTTACATAAAATAAATTAAATTAAATAAACAATTTTATTTTAGTACTATTCAGTACAAAAATATATTGATGGTCGATTTCGCAACTTGGAAAGGTATTAGGGTCAACATGGAGTTAGGGTCAGTGCTTGAGGGAATTTACATTGGTGCTTTGGGCAGTATCAGGGTCAATCGATGCGGTCATTGTAAACAACCCTTAAGTTGTAATGAAAAAAAAAAAAAAAAAATCACTCTTGAAATAATAAAGGATTAATTGACACAAGATGATGAGGAGGATCACAGACATAGAAGAGATGCTTTTTTTTTCATTAAAGTATTCGTTTATGGAGACAGCGAAAGAAAAAAAAAAAAAAATAGAAAATCTCTTATCTATTAAAGGGCTATGATGGTTCGGAAGCAGAAGAAACATCTCTCTCACTGTAAGTAGTTTTTTTCAGAGACTCGGAGTTGGAAGGGAGCAAATGCAGGCCATGACAGAAACTATTATTTTGGACTCTAGGAATCCTACATCACCACATATACTGATTTTGATTCTGTGAACCGTTCTTGACATATTTAGTATATATTCCAATGGTCCGACCTAACTCTCTTTTTCAATATTATCGATTGATTGATGAGTATGCTATGTGGTTTAACAACTCAACTTAGTTGAGCAGCAGTGCAATATTATTATTATATTAGTTCTCGCTTGTCAAAAGAACGAAATAATTATATTTAAAAAAAAAAAAAAATATATATATATATATGCCGAGAGCCGGATAATGCATATAAACCTTTCCTCTCTATTGGAGTAAGCACCTTTGAACAAAAGTTTTGCAGTAATTAATGGTAGAATTATTAAAAAATAAAACAATACACAAATAACTGCAGTAACATGATTTTAAAAAATATTTCCATTATAGACAAGATGGGGAACAAAAAGAAAAAAAAAAAAATATATATATATATAGAAGAGGTTCATTCCATGTTTATATGGAAACAAAATGTACAATCTCATGACATTTGCCCCTCCCAAAAACATGACAAAATAATCATGCTCAATGTGTAAACTAGATAAGTATTAATACAATAAAACTTAATGTACTTGATATTTGAGTTGAAGGTAATAAAATTTACACTAAATAGATAGAATATGACTGAAAAAAAATCCTTAGTTCATCACCATTTGTATAATGTTTCAAACACAAATGTACAGTAAAAGTCAAAAAGACAGATCCTTATCTAGTTTACATGAATGTTTCATCACGTTTTTAACCAGAGAAGCAGTGCCTACTCCAAATTTTCTACTTTCATATATTATATATTTTAACTTGTCTTATTTCTAGTATTCAATATATTTTTGAAGAATAAGAAATATTTTAAGAGTCATTTTTATTACTCTCATAAAAAGGATCCGAATATTGACCTTTCTTTTTCAAAATACCAATACCTATACTATATTCTTTTCTTATTTTTCACTGAGAAAGGATAATGAAAGTAAAAGAAAAGGGGATTAATGAATGATCACTTAAATTCCACAAGACTTCCAAACCTGCCTTATTTTCAAATAAATTTCCTTATGTGAGGGAAAATCTCATATTTCTATATCTCTACATTTAGATAGGAAACTTATCAAAAAATAGAATAAAGAAGTGAATTAAATTTGTTTTAACTTTATTATAACCTTATCTTTTTTTTTTTAATTAACGATTAAACTAATTAAAAATTAATATAGTTTATATATATATATATATATATATATATATATATATATATATATATATATATATATATATATAAACTAATATTTATAAATACAAAAATTTTAAAATATTCATATAGTTATTAAATATAACATAACAAAATAATATGTTTGCATAGTAAAAATTCCTAATAAATAAAAGGATAAATAAATCATCCCATAACAATAATAGGTGTAAATTGCTAATAGATCTACTCTAAAAGTATTTTGGACCATTTCTGAATATTATAGAAAACAGGAGTTCTTGACGGCATTTATTGAAGGCAATTAGAGCTTAATAATATATATAAATGCATACATACATATATGTATATATAATTACTATATTATGCATGCTCCATACAATTGGTATTGAACTCTATGTGAAACATTTACCAAGTGCAGGATGGTTCCATATAAAGATGTACATACAGGGAATCATCCTGGACGTGGTACAAAATACGATTAATTGATCTAAAAAATGGTTTCAAGAACCACTGTTTTTAAAAATATTACAAATGCATTGTACATATAAGTTAACAAAATTAATATTACCATTAATCACTGTAAATTTCAAAAGTACACAATTTTTTCTTAATCTCTGGTAAAGGCCTTTATACAAGATATTTTCCTCTTGTTATATTGATTAAAGGGAAATTTACTGTTCCTATTCAATTTAATGCAAATAAAGTAAGTTTATTTTAAAAAGTCACCAGATTTAACCATTTATCACGAGTACCCCTCTAATGACAATTTCACAATACAAGAGCCAGGTAAGCAAAATTACTTGAACAAATAATTGCTTCATTTTATTTTTCAATACTGGTCAAAATACTTTTAACATATTAATAAAAAACATTTCAATAAAACACAGTGTTCTGCATAAGACATGAAATACATAAAATAAATAATCATAGTATTAACATAATACAAATAAAATAATGATAGTAAATAAAAATATTAAATAAGATAATGTCAAAATATTGATAAAAATAATTTTCAAAAATGTAAAGCTAAATCTGATTTATAAGTTTGTCTATATTCTCATGAATCACAGATAAATCCAGTTCTCTCAATATCTTCAAATATATTTCTCCTCGATTATTGATTGTAGTAATCCAATCTGGGCTAGACTCCATTAGCAAATCTAAGTGGTGTGTCATGTCATCTAAAAACAATAAATAAAATCATATAAAGCTCAACCATATTTAAACTAAACAGAGTAGTAATATTCAAGTGAAGTGCTATCGTGATTGAAAATATATAAGAATTAAATACTAAATTTTCAAAATTTTGAGGCAGAAAAGGCTGACAAATTTGGCTCCATAAAAAGAAATACAAATAAAATAAAACATATTATAAACTTAGAATATAATTTAATAATAAAAGAAACATAGACAAATAATTATTTGCTGTAAGTATATACGTAAACATTTATTAGTAATAATGCAATTGCATCTAGTTCAGTTTTTTACCAATTTTACCTGACATGTCAATGAACTATTTTTAATTTTAAGAACTACTTTCAGTCGCAAACAATATTTAGAAGGGGTTGTTAATTTAATTCTTTTAGTACATTGCAACCTTTCAAATGAACCAAAAAAATTGAGTATATCAATGTTTCAGCTTCTAAAAAATTGTGAAATAATATTTCATAACATTTTCTACTATAACTTTTCCACGTTCTAAACAGTTTATCCAAAAATTTTAAAAATCATATACAAGTCTTATTACCATGAATTGTAAGTTAGGAGTCAATTTTTCATAAGTAGAGTAAACAAAAAAAAAAAATTATTTTGCAATTGAAGCTTTTCAACAATAAACCAAACATAGATTAAGCACAGCCTATTGTTGATATTCATTTATGACCATACATTTTTTTTATGAATAGGAGAGATCAAATTGAGTAATACTTTCGACTTTTGAAACTTAGTAATTTTTAATTCAGTCCAGATTTATGTTTTACTTAAAGATTTATAATTCATTGCCTATTCTCATAAACCTATAGATAAAATGCTATCATATAATCACAAATGAATAACAAAATTTAAACTGTATAACTTCAAAATGATTTTGTTGCTAATTTGGTCTACAGTAAAAATTCAAGCTTACTTGGGGTTAAAATTTCTCTGTAAGAACTACTGAGTTTGTCCAAGAGAAGAGACTTAGGAAGTACAGTTTTCTTTTCAGCAATAAATGTATTCCTTACTATCCTCGCTATTTCACGTAGACGGGAATACTCAATTCTACGCTTAACAGCTTCAGGATTGCGTGTAAGCATAGAAGCCGCTTTTGCTGCTTGTTTAGCTCGAACCTATTTAACATAAGAAAAAATAGAAAAAATGGCTAAATTTATAAACATATAGTCAACTTCAAGCATTATTTTTTAATATGTTTCTATTGAATTGGTTCCATTATTTTTATTAGTGATTTGTAATGAGAATAAGATATAAAGATACATGATTACATTTAATGTTCTTTGAATCAATATCTAACTAGTGGTCTTAATGATCAGTGATCACACATAATTAGTCTATACATTCTGGTTTTGATGACTAAGTAAATTCATGTTTCACATAAATAGGTTGGTCCCACACACACCAAAAAACAAAAAAAAAAATTCTATAGCAATAAGTCAAGATCTGTTGAAGTTTAGTTTTAAATTGAGTATTCAATATACGGCTTATATAAAATAAAACTTTAAACTAACAAATAAAAATAGAAATAATAAAGTATATGGTTACTTTTTCAAGTAAAGACTTCGGAATTCCTTTTAAAGCTGAAGTCAATGCAGGTATAGATGCTGCAGCAGGTGTGGTATACTGTGCCTGAGGCAGAGAAGAATTCTTTTCAAGTGCTGATGCCATTCGAGGGTTGCACATAAAAATATCTCGTGCTTTGTCTAAAAAATAAATATAATATTTGACATGATAAGTCACAAACGAAATAATCATGGAAAAAACAAACAAAATTAACCTGTCTGATTAGTGGATCCTGTTGATTGTTTACAAATTAATAAAACAAACACCAAAAGATCCTACATTGCCAAATAGTTTAAATAGTTTTCATTTGAATAAGCATTAACACATAAATAATTGTGTAGTCATCCGATGCTGTTTTCACAGATTTATGAAGAGAAAAGTTGTTTGATTCAGACTACGCATTTATATCAGAAGAAGATTTAAATAAGACTAAGTTTTTAATTTTAAGACTCGTGTCAACCCAGATTTCCATGAATCGTCACTCTTTTCTCTGTCACTAAAGTGGAAACGTCATGACTTATTCTGTGAGTTCACAACAGAATTACCTGACATAAGTTTGGGAAACTGAACATATGTCATTTTGAATCAATTAATCTAGTCCTCATTTAGCCACCACAACATCCAATAGGTTACCACTTTTCAATAATAAACAACCAGTTTTGAAAATTGGACCATTTTAATCCTGAATGATGGTGAACTCATATAGGAGTCGAGAGGAAACCGGGCATAGGTGATGGTAGGCTCATACATGAGTCGAGACTGTGACAGAGGACATACATATGAGTTGAGAGCCTGTTGGACTCTTTCTCATTAACACTTTAATGGTCACACGTCTACACAGACAAATGTTGCCAGAGGCTGGCAGTATTTTTAAAGAATTAGTTAAAACAAATTTTAATAATAAGTCTCAATAACCAATCACTCTTGGCAATCGAATCGGTGAGAGCGGTCACTAAAGTGTTAAATCATGAGATGCTCAGTATGAATTCATATGAACATGTATATCAACTGCACAGTAAAATTTAATAAACATTTTATGACCAGTATTTTCCAGAAAATAATAAATACATTTATAGTATAACATTTTACATATAGCTAGTCCTGTCATAAATATTGTTACAAGAAAATATATAAAGATTTCAACAAGAAAAATTAATTTTTTAAAAAACTTTATTAGAAAATAAAGTATCTATAGAGAGTAAAACAAAAAATAAATTACTCAAAATGTTCCCTTTTTGCCTTGACACAGGCATTTAATGATGACGTCGTAACTCGTGGCCAGTCATCGATAGCAGCACACAGCACTTATTGAGGAAAGCAATAAACTGCTCGGACCAGAGATTGTTTGAGGCTTTCCAAGTTAGGGTGTGCTCGGTGGCATACCATCCTCTTCAGTTTGGAAAAGCCGATAATCTAGTAGTTTGAGATCAGTGCTTCCTGAGGGCCAATCTGAGCCAGAGATGAACTTTGGAATGTTTTTTGAAGCCACTGCTGAGTTGACATAGCCTTGTGAGCTGGAGCAGAATCCTGCTAGAAAACCCAATGACTTCCAGCAAACAGAATATCATTTAGAGGCTTGACAACAGGTTCCAAAATATCGTCCTGATAGTTTTTAGTGGCTGTTTCAACTCCTTTTTCACAAAAATGGAACTTTGTGGTGCCATCAAAGCAAACTCCACATCAAACCATCATTGAGGAAGGGTGATGACCTCTTTCCACTCTTCCGATGAGTTCCTCTGCTTCTTTATAGCTGTGTGAGTACATATGATCATTTTGGCGATTAAATTTGTCTTCAATTGTAAAAATTTTCTGATCGCTAAACAAAATCTTTCAATAAAAACTGTTATGAATTTATGTAAATTCATATTAACATACTACTTGCGCAAGTAGTATTGTTTCGCTCAAGTCTAAACACTTTCTTGTAATTAAATGGGAATCGGTTTTACCACAGGCTCTACATTCTGTGCATTCTCTATTGTGTTTAGCAACTAATGAGACACCGCATGAAAGGATGTTCAATCATCCCAGACGTACAGGGAATGGAAAATCACTTCCCAGCTAGCCAATGAACTATGAGCCTGTTTTCTTAAAACAGTTTATTTGCCATTCTAAATCGGATCCTCTTGTAGAGGAAGTAACCCTCTTGGATGGTAATGCTGAATACGCTCATATTCGCTATCCAGACGGAAGGGAAACAACGTTATTGATTAGATATCTTGCTCCTATTGGGAGCAACGGAAATTCTACCGTATATGATGAGGAGGTAGATAGCAATCAAGGGACACCTATCGTCACTGAATCGGAGGAACACATCAGACCTGATTTGGTAGTCATACCACCTGTTCAGGAAGATGACTTCTCTGGGTTTAATGTGCAAAATTTTTATTATGCGAGACGTTTATCTGACAGATTCCCATTTGCCGAGACACGATTTGTTGTTTTTGAATGGGATTTCTTCTGATTCGAGCAACCACTGCTCATTGCATTTGCTGTTCTCACAGTGAGGGGGTGGCCCAGTGGAGGTCTGTCATATACAGGGTCTCATTAAATCTATTTATAGAGTGGTACACGAACATACAGCTGATACCCAAAGGTTTCAAAGAGTTGAAAATCTCTGACCTACATTTTCCAACTTTGTGTAAGGCAATCACAGCTATTCGGTTTTCTTTATCATCCCACTCCATGTTAATTGAGCCAAAGAAAAATACAAACTAATTGGGGTTATTATCCTGACATGTAAAGAAAATAACCTGATAGAGGTAAGTATTATTTAAGTAATAGCCAAGGATGTAAACAAAGTTCAACTTTTGTAACAGTATTTGTGGCAGAACCAGGTATTACTTCCATTCTTAGTAATATAATAACATACTTCAGTATTTTTTTTTAAAGAGAGAACATGATAGAAACACGAAACAGTTTAGTTTTTAGTTTTGACTCATTCAAATTTTATAAAAGGTTGATTATATAAAAAATGAAGGTTTAAAAGTTCATATTTTATGTTTAAAAAAATTGTAGATCATGTAAAAAATACATTTCTATTGTATAAAAGTTGGATAAAAACATCACAAAGAAGTTTCGCACGCTTCCCTAAATAAAAAAGCTTAAGTAGTGAGTAGAATAGATAAAAAGTATTCCACTATAGAGGCACGAAAAAGTGTCGGCTGGTACGTCCTCAGTGCTACTCCACCCTTCTCTCTCATCATTACTAAAAGATTAAATGTTCTTTCTATAAAAAAATTTTTCAATTTGGAAGATAATACAAATTATTTTTTTTTTTTTTAAATGGTCAGGACATTGACATCAATTAAAGATTGAAAGTATGGCTGAAGCAATACTACTCACCATTTCTTGTAAGGCAATTTCAATTTCACTTAACTCGTGGAAATTCAACAAGAATAATAGTAATAGAAAACTGAAAAATTTAAACTAATTCATATATAAAAAAAGTGAAATTGCTACATATACTAGAGTAGAATCAATTAAAATATAAACATACTAAGCACATCTTTTGCAGTAGAAAATTTCTCCAGGTTGGGAGGCAGTGGCAGCAGTGATGGAACAATATCTGGAACAGAATCAACCTCGAATTCCGGATGCCATCTTGTTACTTTATTCTTATCTAAGCTCATTGGAGGATCCAAAGTTTTCAAAAACTCCTACAAAACAAAATTAAAGTATAAATTAAAACTCTACAAAGTTGAAGGAAATCAGGGAAATATCTTACAAATGGTGTATTATCAGTTTCATCAAATTCCATTTAACAATTAAAATAAACATATTTAATTGATAAGAATATAATGTATATGGAATGTAGTGGGCATTGAACATATGAAAATGGAGGTCATATTTATATGGCTATATTTTATAGTGTATTATAAAACGTCATAACAACAACTTTCATTATTTTAATGTGATTTAGCTAAAATTTTCAGAAACTGTGAGGGATGATACCTACAGTCTATTATCAATATCATCAAATTCGGTCTATTTGTTACTCTTAGGTATAAGTGTTTCCAAGACAAGACTAAGTTCAAGAACTTCTTTCTCTGTGGATTTTATTCCTGAACAACAACAAATGGTGAAGAAGTTATAGTGACCATATTCACAGACTTAAGATATATATATATTTTTATAATCAATATTCAACTACGTAATTGTTACTATTGTAGTATTACAAATATAACTCTTCAATTCCTTGTTTATGTTGTTCCTCTAATAATTTCAAAGGTTAAAAATTTCATGGTCTGAAATATAGATAGTTTGATATCCTTAATAACTAACGATTCTATCAATATCATTCTAAAACATTTAAATCACTACTCTCTGTTCCAAGAGTAAAAATATTGAGGTTTGAATAGTCCGTGGTACACTTGGAATTGGGGCATTTCCAATCTGGAGATAGGTAAACTTTGTCTATTTAATGAGGTACTAAAAACTCGTAAGTACCCATTTGCTTTCCACTTGGATCTTAAGATAATTTGATTTAAAAAATCGAGAAAAGAGGAGGCCTACAAAAATATTGGTCTGTTTTGCCTATATAACCTCATTATTTTTAATTGTTGGGGTGTAGGTCATACTACTAAATAGTCCAATTCCAAGATTCTTCTGAAGTTTCAGGCAGATGTTAATAATTTGATAAAAAGGGTCTGTACCACGGACTAGAAATACTATCTATATATATATATATATATATATATATATATATATATATATATATATATATATATATATATTTCTCGATATTTGCATCCCTAGTCTAGTACTGTGTATTGGGGTGGAGATCAACATATTGGATATTATTTATTCTCAGTATTTATTTAAAGAACAGTTAAAAATAAATAAAATTGAAATTACCTGGTGATGATCTTTTGTCAAATTTAAAAGGGCGTCATACATCTTTCTCCTCCTTTCAAGTATTATAGAAGGTGTCATAAGAGAACTTTCACTCTTTTCTTCACACGAATCACCTTTAAAAATATATATATATTAAAAGGATATAAAAGGTATATTTAGGCCTAAGCAATATAGATCTGAGATGAGATATAACTTAGCTACAATACTAGTTGTAATATAACAAAGAAAATGAAAAACAACTTGTTTATTTTGCTGTTTTTCTTATATAGTAAAATCTTACTAATCCTCGATAATTAAATAATTATTTGAAAAAATGTAACACTAATTATAATAAAATAAAAAAATATGTGATAAAATATAAAAAAAATATTGTTTGCATAATCAATTGCTAGAGATACATTGACAAATTAAATAAAACCATTCTTAAATCACAGCTAGAAGTTACAGGACTAACTTCTACATAAAATCTATAACAAGATATTGTCTTCCAATAAAAATAACATACATAATGATTGACAATAATAAGATAACTTCCTGTAAGAATATTCATACAGGAAAACAAGGTATTTTAATATTTGAGAAGAATAAAATTATTAAATCATTCATCATTAAAAAAAATCTGTTCAGTAAAGAGAAAATGCTGATTAGTCATAGTAAAGAACTTAACTACTTCAGAAACATGTAGCACATTTTGGAAAATTCATTCATTTTTACTTTCACTTACCAATATATGTAATAAATTGTAAGTGTAAGTATTGCGATAGTGAAAATTTTTGAATCTGAGTTTTTCAACAGAAATACACGTTTTAGGTCCCCTGATTCCAAATAACCAAGTCCCGAAAAATGGTCTGTGTGTATGTGACACTAGCTCGATATTGAAAAGTCATACGAAACTGATATTACATATTTAAGATAAGTATATGCCTTAGATGTCCTAGCAACTTTTTCCTTAAAATCGGCTAACCAGAAGTGCCACTTTATATCAACGCTGAAACACATTTTTACAATTTTCTCAAAAACGGCTCTAACGATTTTGATTAAACTCGGTGTATCATTGTATAATTAACTGGTCTTTAATATCATTTAGGTCTTATCCCCGTTGATGTCAGTTTACAGGGCTTAAATGCCCAATGTTCATATGCGTCTTTCTCTAAAGTACCTTTAATATACTTTATTTTAATTAATTGATAATCTCACATTATTAAAAGTTGTGAAAATATACTATATATAACTTTTGAAAGAATTTGATAATTGAATAAAGGAGAAAAAAAAAAAAAATGCTTATACAGGCAGAAAATGAATCTCCGGAAATACAAGTCAGAAGGTATACTTATAATATATTGTTGGAAAGCGGAGAATTTTAGAAAAAAACAATATATAATATAGAAAGTTGTAGAACGTAACGGAGAGCGGCAAAAAAATTATAAATAATAATTTTTGAAAGCTGATAATATTTAACGTAGACCACATGTTTTCAAGGAAATTAAATGAAATTTACTAACTAAATGTAAACTTTAAAAAATATTTTTATGCTAGTAGAAAGTATTTAAAATCCACCTAATCAAGGCAATGGCATTATTAAAAAAACTATTTCATTGTAGTAGTGTGTTGTGCGCACCAGATTTTTTTTTTTTTTAAAGTAGAGATAAATTGAGAAAAATTATATATAATGAAAAAACTAAGAATTCTTATATCACTGAGGTATTCTTAATTGCTTTTCTATTCCTCAGACTAGAAAGCCATCTTCTACTCCAAAGTCCAAGGAGGATTACTGTGGCAATAACATTACTGGAAAAGTGCAGTCTAAAAGTAGTTCTGTGTTAATGAGACATATTTAAGACCTTTCAAACCAAAGACACAGCTTAATTTCTTATTTAAATAAAACTTCTATAAAAGCAACTAAATAATTGAATGATTTTTTTAATATAAGTGAAAGTGAACAGTAACACAGCTGAAAAATAAAGTATTACGAGCTTATATATTATTGACATCCAGCACCATCAATGAGTTTGTATGCGATTTATCAGATAACATCCATAAGCGCATATATCTATACAAACGTATTTTGGGAATTATGAATGGAATTAAACAATACATTATTCCGTCTAAACCTATTATAGAAGAAAGATACTAATATGACCAAATGGTAATATCAACATTAAAGAAATTAATAGTTTTAGATTGGCATCCTGGCTTACCTATCAGAGCTGAGCAACTAAGTGTAGAAAGAATCTCCATCAAATTTATTTTTGTAACATTATACAAACTTGCAATAGAGATAAAACAAACACATTAAACAATATTTATTATATATAACATTTAATAATTAAAATAGAAAGGATTTAAATTATAACAATTTTAATGGTATAGGGATATGACCGTAATTATAATTTAAGAAAAAGTTGGTCAGGAGTCAGTCCACATATAATACTATGTATTTTATAACAGTATTTTTTGGCATTCACCAACTGTTTACCTGTTGCAGTCCTATGTTGGTTGTGGCCATGCCTTGAATCACTGAGTTGGTATGTCTGTGTAAGTTATTCTAAAATCTTTTGTAGTATGTCCATATGTAGTCATTAACTGTTAGTATGTATAGGTATTTATGTAAAACACCTATGTTGTACTTTGAATTGACTTACATGGTAGGTTGAAATTTTGGCAAACGCAATAAAAAAAAATTATTAATACAATTTCTTACCATTAGTCTTATCAAGAAGTGGCTTGATACTAAGTTCATATTTAGGTGCCTGCCCAGGTCCTTGGCGAAGTTTTTCTTGTTTAAATTCAAATGCAGTCGGATAAATTGTAAGTATTTGACTGAGATGAGTTTCAGTTAAATTCCTAAAACAAATGATGATACAGAATTATTCCAGAAATGAAATTTATAATTAAAAAAGTAAAATTAAAAGTAATAATTGTAAAAATTATAGGATAATGGCAAAAAGCTAGAGCAGAAATTTTAGAAGGAACAATTATGTTAATAAAGAGGTTCTTATGATTTTAAAAAATATAGATCTACAAGAAATTGTGAAATTTTGTTATACAATTTCAAGTTTAACTTCATCTTCTCTTGAATTTTCATCATTTAAAAAGCTATAAAATAGTAAAATACTAACACTAAAATGCGATAACTGAAGAGTTCAATCATATCTACTTCCTACACCTAAAACTGATCTTTTAGATCACTAATAAGATAGAAAAAATGTATGATTAATAAAAAACAATAATAAACATAACTGAGAGAAAATGAAGTAGTAAATCATGACATGCAGATGCACATGACATAACTCTCCTTGGAATTATCTAGAGGTCGTAAGGTTCGTACAGACCCGGATACTAATGTTGTTATCGATGTTGTCAGCATGTATTCCATCAACAAGAGCTGACATGGGCAACACTGGGTGGCACAGCATCAAATAAATTTATTACTTATATACCTGTTGCTCATTTCAAATGTAGAACAGTGTCTTGCTACCTGTTGCTCATTTCAAATGTAGAACATCACCTGGTGTGTTCAGTGTCTTGCTAACAAGTGGGCAACAAACTGGTAGAATTTAATCAGTTTGGTTGTTATTATTATTATTTACTGCTTGTAGATAGTTTATTATTTTAAAAATACAGTTGATGATTAATCATATTTTCTAGCTATGGCACGGACAAAGATGATCAGAATAGAAATTGATTGAAAGGTTGCAGAGCTGCTTCTGCACTTTGGGACATCAAATTCAAGAAGTATTAGGAGAGAAATTTAAAAAATGATGAATTATTAAAAATGGCATCTTACTTTAAATGAATATAACAAAACATTCGAAAAAAAAATCTCTTCAAAATCATATTTTGTTAATCTGATTGAATTTCAGCATAAGCTACCATCATTTAAAAGTAATTTCAACACCAAGTTGCCACTATGGCTTGTTTCATTTTTTAAAATTATCTCCGGCACCACCTTCTAACTTTTCATTTTTTGGCATGTACAGTTATAATGATGAAAACAGCACTAATCCCAGCACCAAATGTTTCTTCTATTTTTAATGTAAAACTGAGTTAGGTCTGAACTTCTAACACTGTTTAAAATATGTTTCGAGATAAAAGTATCTGTAGCCAAGCAACATTCTGTATCCTGGATTGTACATACCTATAGAGAGACTCACCAACTTTTAAAACAATTAGAAAAAGAAAAAGACAAAAAGCAAATATACAAATAATACAGTAAAGGCTACTAAGTTTGCATATATATTATATCTATTAGAGAATAATTCATAATAAATTACAAGCAAAAATAAAACATACTTTTTAGACATCTGCTGAACTGATATCTTCAATTTTGAAAAAAAAATTGTCTCATTCCTATTAAACATCATTGAAACGACAGCATCAATTGCTCTGAAAGTCTCTGCAAGTGTTCTGTATTTATAGGGAAGAACGAGTGATGATTTTTCTTTAGAGCTCAAATGTGAGTATCTTTCGAATGATTTGGTGGGAGAAGCTTCAGTAAAAAGTTTCCTAGGGGAAACATATGGAAGAGGTGTCCCTTGGGTCTTTCCTGGGGACATGAGGATTGATCTATGAAGTAGTGATGGAGAACTGGGCACTTTAATGCAGTCAGGATCTTTCAACCTCTTTGTGGGGCTGTAACAAATAAAATCATAATACATTTTTAATAAAAAACTATAAGTGTAACAAATTAAATATTAATCATGCATAATTATTTTTTTAACCACAAGACTTCATTCTTAATTTATAGAAATCACCATCTAGATCAGGGATCAGTAACATTTTTTTACTGTGAACCAGCTACAAATATAAAATATTATGCAGAATGGACTGATGATCATACAAACACTGAATGAGGAACTCAAATAATAATCTCTTAAATAAAATAAACTTAATGCAAAAAAACATTTTACCATATGTATAAAATACCATTAAAGAAGCAATGAAAGATATAGATGAAAAAAAAAATTTTAAGAAAAATCTGGTAATGCCTCTTTGCCATCAAGTGATTTAGGTATGTAAATATAGACAATAATTTCTGCACTATTTAACTATACATCATTTATTTTAATCTCGATGACTAATAGCTTCCATTTATTGTCATTCTGGAAAATAATTATTTGCAAAAATAGGTCTTCAAAAAGCATCATTATTTACTTTGGAAATGTGCCTAATCCTGGGAATTTTTATAGATTCGTGTAATTTAAATAGAAATTATGCATGTTTCCTATATGAACTTTATTTTTCAAATGTATATCATTTTATAACTCACCCAGAACAAGTTCCACATCTATAATTAGTGAAAAAAAATGTTAAAACTAAATACATTTTTTTCTGATTTAAATATTTTAAATTCTGCTATTGAGAAATTCACACAAAACAATGTCCATATATCACAGGATTAGATGGATCAATCTCTTCCAAAATTTTGAATACCTTAGTGCTTACTTTACTTCAAGCTGCTTAGTTATTGCATGATATTCAGCATGAAATCAGGTATTAGCACATATTATTTACCATGGTATACCTAGTTAGTCCAATAAGTTTTATTGCAGTGTAGTTTCTCTCTGATTGCAAAGTTGTAAGCTGCCTAAAAGTCCACAAATAGTATTCATAGAAGATAGCCGAATTCATAAATCTTTTCATCCAGTTGTTTAAAGGTGAGCATTTGATCTATTATAGCCATGTGTTCTAAAGAAAACTTGCTTGATAATCACCGACTGTGGTTTCCATGTACCAGGTATCAGCCTGTTATATAGAGCAATAGCAAATATTTAACACACAACATTCAGAAGACTGATCTCTCTATAATTGCTGCAATCTGTGGGATCACATTTCTTCTTAAATACTGGAATAACTAAGGTTTGTTTCCATTATTCAGGTATTCTTTTTTCTTTCCATATATGAGCTATCAGCTTGTATAGTTCAGTTTTCATTTTGGGTCATCCATTCCTGGGGTTTTACGAACTCTTAGTTCAGCAATTATGTGCACAATAATCTCTGTCTCCAAAGGCATTTCCTCATCTGTCCCATCATCCTGACCACATTCATCTCGATTATATTCGTTGCATACATCTGTAGGATACAATGACTCACTGAATTATTTTTCTCATCTTTTGATTACTTCATCAGGCAGTGTATGGAGTGCACCCTTTTCATTTCTTATGACTGCTTCATTTGACTTACATGATGGATCAATCTCTTCCAAAATTTCTAATACTTTAGTGCTTACTTTACTTCAAGCTGCTTACTGATGAAGCATTTGTAATTAAGTAATTAAAGCAAGCATGAATAGAAGGAAATGATTTTTTTAAACTGAAGATTATAGAAAAAATGTTTTAGTTATGGAACATTTTTAGTGAGGGTCAAAATTTTTTGTACACCAGATTTCAAACATTTAATAAAACCTATTGATATTAAAAGCAGGGTTTAATAAAAAATAATAATAATATTGACATCAACACTTGAATAAAAAAAACATATGGTCCAACTTTACGATCATATAATCTGCTTAATATTGTCATAAAAATAACAAACAATAAACAACACGAGCCAAAAGTATTCATCCTCTTTATTACCATCCTGAATTTATCCTATTACTAAATAAAATTTATATCAAAGCATTGTTCTTACTGTGAAATATTTAGTTAAAATTTGGTATAAATTAAGGGAAATAAATGAGGAGAAAAGAAAGTTAAAGAATTCAAAGCAAATAGTGCAATGAGAAAAACAGTGAACAGACCCCACAACAGCATAAAATCGACTGTTACAGAAAACGAAGGAGTATTTCTAATTCAAGAATAGAATATCCTAGAAACATAACTTCCACAACCAATAGGAATATTGTAAGATAAGAAAAAATCTAAGGATTAATAGCTAAGGTTTTGGAGGAATATTTCGCTGAAACATGTAAACTGATGAGAGTAACAATCATGCAATAATGTTATGAAATAACGATTATTTTTGATTTGTGTCGTTGAACAAATTGATTATTTTGAATATATTACTTATATGACGATGTTACATAGTTAATGTTGTTGTTTTTTTAATCAAATTATTTATAATTAATATTAAATTATTCCCTACCAGTATTAGAAATATTTTTTATTTCGTTTTACAACTGGTGTACAAATACTTTTTACCCAGACTGTTTACAGAGTATATAAAATTAGTTTATTTCAACAATAACTTAAGATGAATTTCTATCCCATTTCGTAAAATACTTGTTTATAATAAAATATAAAGTACTGATTTTATAAAGCTAAAAAATTGACTTCTTAGAAAACAATCACAAGGTATGGTAACATTTATAAGTGATGAGAAAAAAAATTAAAATAAAACAAACGTTTATGTCAATAATTCTTGAAGAGATTAGTAGAATAAATTTAAATGAAACCAAAATAATTCTAGGCAAAGGGATGAAAATAAAAATAATAAAATTTTAAGAGAGAGCCCTATAAGTTTTGAAGTACACATCTCAGTAATAAACTGATATAATTTCATTTAGAAAATTATACAGAAAAAGCTCCTACTTTTATCAATTTGATGAATCCCAATTCAATTAAAAGTTATTGGAAATTGGAAAAAAGAACATGAATGATAATAAATAAACTTGTCATAACATAAACAGCGCACCTGCAAACTTCGACATTGATAGCACTGAATTTCTTTAAAGTAGGACTGTCGCCAACATTTTTGTTTTGTAATTTTGTCCCAATTTCTCTGAGTTTTACATGGCCTTCATTGATATTCTTCAATGATTTTCTTATTTCATCGAGCCTTGAACTATTAATGATTTTGGATCGAAGATTTTTCAAACTTTCCTATAAAAAACAATAGAATTTTAATCACGACAAACAACCAGTAATAGAGTATTAATAAATAAGAAGAATTATTACCACGTTAGATTTCTTAGATGTAGAAGGAACTACCAATTTAGTAGGTGAAGATTCAATTCTGGGACCACATTCTTTCTTGGGTGACAAAAACCCCTTAACTATGAAGGGTACATTAACTTTACCAGCTTGCTCTGAATTCAAATTAACATCCTTATGGGGTGTCACTTCACCTTTCTAAACATACAAAATAATTAATAGGCACTTCATCAAAAATTATCTACAAATAGAGAAAATAAAGATTAACAATATTTACCTCTTCTGAAGGGGAGTTAGAATTCTCTAAAGCAGCATCAAATGAAGAAAGTAAAGATTTTCTAATATCACTCTGATTAGTCCCCTGTCTTTCTCCTCTAATCTTGGTACCAGAAACTGTTTTAGGTGTTCTCCTATGCAACTTGGGAGCAGTTGTTACAATTTTTTTTGGCTTTGCAATTTTTGGTGACTCACTATAAATTACTGTTCTCTTTAAATCAGTCTCCTCTAGGACTGAAGGATCGGATTCTTTTGTCAATGACACGTCAGTTGTGTTTTTATCCAGAATCAGCACTTTATTTGAATTACTGACCTTCTTTAATTCGTCAACAGCTCGTCTTTTTCGGCTGTTGAAATACTGTGCTATAGATGTTTGCAGAGCCATTGTTGATCAAAACCTTCGAAAGTAAAAATCAAAATGAACTAAACAAGTAAAATAAAACTGATTGATGGTAACTAAGATCAAATGCAATTTGAGGAGACAGTTAAAAATCCACCAGCATAAAACCTCGAACTAATAGTTAAATGGCGTGAATGTTTATGGCGCGAAAGATGCTTGGTTTCCATCAACTAATTTAGTGGGCCTTGGTTCATTTCTAGCGCTCCTCGTAGCAGTTCTTCAAAACTCCTGAATACACAATCGAAAAACAAATATGGAGGTTTACTGGTGATTGATAATGTAAGTTCCTTATCTACAAAATTTTCTGGGTCATTAGCTTTTAATTTTTTTTCATTAACACGACTTAAAATTTTCAGTGCAATATATTTTTATTAAATGTAATTTTTGTTTTATTATTTATATAGTAATGATGAAAATTGAAAATTCTTAATGAGTTTATCTTATGTTTGTTACAACCATTTTATCAAACTTGTTATCATATTTTATCTCTAATTCATAACGTAGTTTTTGAACATTTTAGGCCTTACTTGGTGCCTCGAAACAATCTAGTCGAGCATGGGTTGATTATAATCAGCAGCTTGAGCAGGCAGAAGAAAGTATGTGGTAACTTAATTTCAAATTAAATCAAACAAAAAACCAAAAGACTCACCTGAAACCTAATTGCTTGCAATGGAAATGTAGGGGTGATTGGTCTCTGTATCATTAGATAACAATATTTCTTGGTGAACAGCCATTCTCTAGTCTCTTAGTGCCATCTTTTAAATTAAACTTAACCACAATAAAGAATATTTCTATAAACATTATGCAGTAGTGCCATTAATCTTGTAAATACATGCATGTTGGGGCTATAAGAGGTGGATGATGAAAGAAAAAGTGAAGATAATGAAAGAGTCTGCTCATCGATGTGGAGAATGTGGGCGTGAATTTGCGCTTGCATACAATTTAAAGAAACACCTGAGGACCCATAGTGGTGAAAGACGTTATATTTGTAGTGATTGTGGGCTAGCTTATACTCAAAGTGGTGGCCTCAAGAATCATATTAAGAGTGTTCATGGAACAGATACAAACTACACTTGCCATTATTGTGGGAAATCATTTCCCATCAAGGATCGCCTGAAACTGCATCTAAGGATTCACACAGGCGAAAAACCTTACAGGTATAACTTTATCTTAGCTTTCTTTACTAAGGTTGAGGTTCTTTCAATTGCATTTTGTGAATGAATTTTTTTGGTTCAAGGTTACTAAATCTTTTGAAATTAGAACTTAACTCATAAAAGTTAGTTCTGCTTTAATTACATAATCTTTCTATATCTATAAGTTTTTTAATATTGGGTTTTAAGAGTTTTCAGACAATATTACAGATTTATTCCAATTTTTAAACTTATTTTATTTAATGTCCATGAAATCTGAATACAGTACAAAATTTCTTGTAGTTTGAAAATTATAGAAAAAACTTAAATTAAATTATAAGGATCAAAAATGGTCAGAATGTGTAGTAAAAAACATTTTGAATGCACATCCTGACCATTTTTTAAAAGTTGTTTCTATACTTTTCAAACTATAAGAAATTGTGTACTGTTTTCAGATTTCATGGACATTAAATAAAATAAGTTTAAAATTGGAATAAATCTGTAATATTGTCTGAAAACTCTTAAACAGTCAACTATATATCCATCTTTTAACCAAATCAGTTCAATTTGGGCATTTAGTCATGAAAAAAATGTATTTATTTAAAATATATACAGGGTGTTTCATAAATAAAAGAAAATGTTTAAAGAGTAAACGTTAACAGCAACAATAAAGTTCTTTTAGGCTATGTTTCTATTACACACAGAATAAAAGGAACTTTAAGATTTGTGTTGTTTTAAGTCACACTTTTTTTTTTTTTTAATAGGAAGTGATAACCATATATTTAATTTAATTAATTACCAATTGCAGTATAACAAACTAGAAAAAAATCTTTTAAAATAAGTAGAATTTTTCTTTGCTAAAATCATTTGAAATCATCATTGATCAATTACCGATTCCAGAATGCATAATGTTTTTTAGAACAATAGGCAAATCTGTGCTTATTGTAAGAAATCTCTACTTAATTGATATGAACATAAAGCTTATGATATAAGGAAGTTTTTCTAAAAGTAGAAAATTCATAGGCCAGTAGGAGATAAATAAAAAAATTGTGAATAATTCATGACTTTATTGAAAACAGAACTTACCACTATCTAGCCACTTAAAAGCTCTCTTCAGATGGTTTCAACAAGACAAATTCCAATTATTTTTAGAGATTTTCTCTTGTTTATTATGCTGCAATTATTAATTGTTTGAATTAAATAACTTATAAGTTATCACTTCCTGTTCAACAAAAAATGTGACACTTAAAAAAAACTCAAAACTTAAATTTTCTTTGTGGAATCAGACCAGTCTCTAAGAACTTTTTTGTTGCACTCAAGGTCCACGAACACTTATTTAAATATTTCTTATTGTTTATTTGCTACCCTGCAAAGATTTTCGGATAAATACATTTTTTTCATGTATTTCTCTATAAATATTGATCAAGAAATTTGTTCTGTAGAAAAAGAGTTTGTTGGAATGTTCATCCGAAATAAAAGTTTTTTAAAAACAGTTTACTCTGTTTATGTTCTTTACAAATTTTTACTAGACTAATAATCAGGATAGGAAAATTATGTTACAGATATTGATGATGAGGTTTGTATTGTAATCTAATCAACTTAATATAACTATATTAGTTTCCAAATGAGTATCATGTCCTAATACATTGCTGTTTGCTGGTCTTGGTGACCTCATGTACTTAACTAATGCTCAAAGGATGTGTTATCATTCTGAGTCTATTCTAAAACATAATATCAATATTAAATTTATCATTTATCATTCTGAGTCTTTTTGTGAAATATACTTTGTTGAATCATTGATGTAAGCACAAAGCTTGTTACTCAAAATCAAAATAATTGACATATGGGGTTCTTCCAATTAGCTATTCGTCTATCCATTATACATGGAAAATTGTATATAATGGGTGATTTTACCATAACAATCATTCATTTTGAAGGAGATGGGTTGAACTATTTTCTAGTTTTGTTGCTGTATATTTTACAAGATGCTTTGAATTATTCTTTAATAATACAATAAGAAATAATCTTGATTAAAATCAAGATTAGATTTATTGATATACGGGTTTTAAAATTCTTCTTCATTTTCTTAAGCTCTTGATTTTTTTTTTAAAGTAAACTCCTCATTTTGTTTACTTGAAATTCATCAAAGTCAAAGAACAGTTTATGACAGTAGTTGTTGTTTTTCATCTTATTTCAAATACAATTTTGTTAAATGCTCAAACATTCTTTTTTCGTTGATTCCTCAGTTCTGCTGTATTTCCTTATGATTAATTCATTCTATATTAAAAAAAAAATACTTGAGTAAAGTTTGAATTAACGGCTCCTGTAAGAAGAGTGCAGTCAATGTGGGGTTGGCAAGATGCTTATTTCACTACAACAAAATTGAAGGAGGAAAACACGTCTAGAATAGGTTTCTATAACAACCTGCAGCCACACTTTCTCGTGTGATCTTTCAAAATTTTACATTTTGACTTTTAATTTATAAGCCTAATTTTAGAATTTAAAAAAATTCAAAATGGAATTTATAAGATTTAGACTAGAAAAATTATTTCTTCATAATACCATTAACTAATAAAATTATTATTATTATTATTTTTGTACTTTTACTTTTTGTTTTAATCTTTACTACCTTCAAGTTTATTTTTAAATTTTATATTGTGTAATGGCTAGAATGACCTACAAGTGGTTGAGAAGTCTCCATTTTTAGAAATAAATAATAATTGATTAGAAAAAAGTACTTAGTTTTAAAATTTTAATATGGAATAAGCCTTCAATATAGAAGAGAAAACATCCAGTTGAGCTAAAAATGAAATTAATAGATTTGCTAAATGATACACATTTAAAAAATAAACTTGCTATACATAATTTCCATCAAATTTTTAAAAAATTCCACAATTAGGCACACACGCTGTGTAAATTATGATAGTTTTTGGAAGAACCCATGTTTATAACCAATTTTTTTTTTTTAAATGAATATAATTAAAAGTGATTACCTATCAAGATTAAATTTATATTGTTAGAATGCTCTATGTTTGAATGTATGGACTAATTTTTTGTACAGTAGTATTTCTTTTCCATTTTTTCATTAAATCGTTTTTACCATATATTTTTTTAAGTGTTTTATTTTTGTAATTTATTTTAGGTACTAAGTTTATTTTGTTAATAAAGAGATAATTTAGTTTTTTATTCAGTGATTGTATTATACATTTCTTAGTGTTAAGAGAGCCAGCACAAGATTAATTTGAATTTATTTATTTCATGTAGTGTTTAATTATTATTACATCATGGATCAAGTAAAAGAAACCATCAACCAATATTAATTAAATGGAGTTTTAAGAAGAAAAAAAGGTGGTTTCCTGATTTTGATCTGGCGTTCATTTGTTCATCTTAACAGAACCCTGTTTTTCATATTCTTGTTTAGGAATTTTGTTTTAACTATTATCTTAAACATTGTAGAACTAAGCTAATTATCAGTGAATGGTATTAAATCTAGTTATTGGACTCAAAATTAAATCGTTGAAATAACTTACTTTAAAAAAAAATTCATGTCATTTATTTGCATTTATCAGAACTTAATTTGATTTTTTTTTGTAAGTTTTGTTTTTATGACAAGTTATGAAATGCTGGACTGATTTTAATTATTTCTTGGATGTTATATATCTGAAATATCAGTTTCATATAAATCATCAAATTTAAAAGTTTTGATTTAGATCTAATCAACATACTTATACCTTGATAAAAATTCATATTCCATTTTAATAAAATAAAATAGATAAAATTGCAACGTTTCTAAACAAATCTCTATATTTTATTGGCATACATGTTTGATTTTTTTTTTTTTAGTTTTGTTCATTAGTAGAATTGGATATCCCATTCCAATTGACTCCTCCACCTAACGCATTTCATCCTTCAGAAATATCCAATTTCATTCATAGATTACCTTTCCACAAAGCTCCTGGCCATGACCTACCTAATCACATCTCAGATCCTAAAACTGCTTCCTAAAAAAGCTATACTATTCCTCACCTGTATATATATAATACTGTACTCCGAACCACATATTTTCCTGACTCTTGGAAACTATCCATTGTCAAAATGATACCTTAAAGCCGCCAGAACACCCATCCTCTTACTGCCCTATCCCTCTTTTATCTATTATGGGAAATATCCTGGAAAAACTCATCTTAAAGCGCCTGTATCCCATCCTAGACTCTAAATACATTATCCCAGATCACCAATTTGGATTCCACACATCCCACTCCACTATTCAGCAATGCTACTGTGTGGTAGATGTAGTCTCCTCAGCATTGGGGCGCAGAATATACTGCACGGGAGTCTTTCTTGACGTTGAACAGGCGTTTGATAGAGTCTGGCATCCGGGACTGATGTACAAACTCCGTAAATTCCTACCACCTACATACTTCCTCATTATCCGTTCCTACCTTACTGACAGATACTTCAAAGTAAATCATAGCAATGCTTATTCATCTCTTTTTACTCAGTTTGCTGGTGTTCCTCAAGGTAGTATCCTAGGTCCTATCCTTTACACAGTTTATACAGCTGACATCCCAACCCAATTCAACACTGTCATCACCACCTATGCCGATTATGTGTATCCTATCAGTTAATAACGATCCATCTATTGCATCCCAAAACTGGAGGATTAAAATAAATCCCATCAAATTACCTTTACTCTTCGTCGTAAACCTATGACTTCCTGTCCTACAGTATCTTTCAACAATAGCCCACTTATCCCTGTTGAACATATCCGATACCTAGGACTCCACCTGGACAAACGACTCACTTGAAACCGCCATACCAGACTGAAACGACTAGAAACCGTCCAACATTTTCGAATACTGCAGCACTTATAGACAAGTGCTCTAAACTTCCAACTATTTACAAAAGACTCGTATATATTACTATAATAAGGCCTATTTGGACTGGATCGAGCTTTGGGGCTCTACTAAACCATCAAATTCCTCAATGCTCCCTACTTTGTCACAAATAAAATCATCCACAACGACCTTAATGTACCATATGTTTCCGATTTAGCTCAATCCAGATACCTATCCTTCCATAACAAACTTCTGAACCCGCTTGTTTCCAACCTTGCTTCCTCTTCTATTCCTGATAACCCTCCAAGGTGTTTGAAAAGAAGATGACTTCGGGACCTTCTAATATAGAAATATAATTGGAGTGCTACCAATGGGTAGTTTCTCCTCATGTTGTACATGTTATGTTACTTATTTCATATTTACTAGTTTTATTTATCATTTAATACAGTTGTAAATTTCAATAATAAAAAAAAAGTTTTGTTCATGTATAAATATGTTTTTCCAGCTGCCCTCATTGCACTAAGAATTTTGCTCGTGGAAGTCAACTTTCTCAGCATGTCCGAACTCATACCAAAGATCGTCCTTACAACTGTGCTTTATGTGGAGCTAACTTTGTTTGTCGTAGTAACCTTCTTAATCATATAAAAAGACACCAAGGTGAAAGAGATTATATTTGTCATAAATGTGGAAAAGCTTTTGTTAGGAGGGATGGTCTTCAAAAGCACTTGGTTTGGTATCATGCAAATTATAAAGCATTTGAATGCAAAATATGTAATAAACGTTACAAAGGTCATCTTCTTCAGCATATGAGAATACACATGGCCGAGAAACCACATGCTTGTCAGCATTGTAATATGCGCTTTGTGCAACGCTCGCAGCTCACAGTACATGAGCGCACCCACAGTGGAATAAAGCCTTATCGGTGTGCTGTCTGTCATATGGCATTTGCTCATTCTACAGCACTTAAAATGCATGTCCGACGCCACACAGGAGAAAAACCATTTAAGTGTCTGATTTGTGATAATAAAGCATTTTCTCAGCTCCCTCATTTAAAAAAGCACATGCTCTCTATCCATAAAACTAATAAACCCTATATCTGTACAGGCTGCAACTCATTTTTCAAAATCAAAACTCAGTTGCAAGAACATTTAGAAACTTGTGATAAGGTTTCTAAGGTGCCAGAGCCTGAACATGAGGTAGGAATGCCGTTGGATAAAATGCGTCTTCTTTTGGCTGTGCTTCTACAAAAAATATCTACGCCAGAAAGGTTACAGACCCTAGGTTATGGAAAACGGTTAATTGATCTAGTTCTTAGAGATTCCATTGAGCAATCAGGCCGTGATGCTTGTAAAGATGTCGGTATATCAGAAGGAGAGCGTTTGAAACGAAATGTACAAATATTATTAGATTGGACTGTACCAAAAGTTTATATGGATAAGTTCAAACAAGAAAGGCGATCAATGGAAGAATTATTAGAGGAATTTACATCGTGACAGGCATCGATGAACGCTGCTTTTTCTGCTAATGTACAAATTTACAGAAATGTTTTAATTGTAGACTTCCTATTTTTCTGTTAATTTAATAGTAGAAATTGGTTTTAGTAAATAACATAATTTATTAATATAAATTTCTTTTGTAATACAAAAATTTAGGAAGAAATTATTTTATACTTTTCTGAAAGGTAGTTCCATTTTAACAGTTACCTAATTTTCATAAGGAGTTACTGCTGAAGTTGTAAAACGAATTGTTGCAGTACTCCCAAAACATAGTCATGAATAATTTATTGAACTAAAGTGACTCTACTACCTCTTTGTATGTTTTTACATTAAAATTGTCAATATTTTATGTGACTTATAAAATAAATGTAGCCTTTATATTATGTAGATTTTATTATTTAAAAGTTCTAAACTTTATTTTATTTAAAGTTTTTAAAAATCAAATGTTTGCATAAAATGCAATGAAATGATGCTAATAAAATAAATATATTAGCATGTTATTTATTTATATGTAAGCATATATATTTTTTTTTTTTTTTATCGTTATAATCAATTTTAACATCACAGTTCTTATAATGAAGTTTGTTTACCACTTTCGATTATATAGCTAGCAGTGTTGTCATTGTTTAAACTAGTAATAATTTATTTAGATTATATTGAAAAGTTTTTCATTTACTATGTTAAATATTTAGTGATTTTATGTAATGTTACTCCGATTTATCTTTTTTAAAAGTTTTTATTTAAAAAGACTTTATCTACATCTACTTGTAATTTCTCTTTTTCTTCTTCTTTTCTGTCTTTTTTTTTTCCTATTCTTCAGTTACTATGTAGATTCCACTGTGGTGTTTGCATGTGCATGTATGTATGTCTTTGTACTATTACTTTTGCACACTCATTTGCACATTCTCATAAATAAATGATTTAACAAATATTTTTCTTGCAATAACGGGCTGCTTGTGAATGTCTATCATGTTTATAATGTACTGTAATTATCGATTGATGGATGTGGTTATTGTTAATAGCATGCACTAAATATTATATATAATTTTTGGTATGTATTATTTTCTAAAGACTGATCTATAATAGTAGAATAATAAAATTCATTATTTAAAGTGTATCTAGTCTGTAACGTTTTCAATTAATAAACTGATACATAAATTCTGATTTATTTAAGTTAAAATTAAATTATAGAGTAATAGCTTATAGCCATTCAAAAGTATGACTTTTTATTTAAAAATTAATCTGCAGTTACCAGATGTATCATAAAATTTTAATCTAGTTCTCAATTTCGAATTTACCCCTGACTGCTATTTAAATAAGAAGATAAACCTTTCTTGATTCAGCGGTCTCTTATTTACATAAACATTTGTTTAATTAGTCTATAGACCTAAGTCACATCTTAAAACAATTGAATTTAAATGTTTAAAATATTTTCTTATTAATACTGAAAAATATTTTCTGCCATTGGTAGATCTTGTCTCTTTCATTTAGGTTAAGGCTATCATCGTAATCTTAGTCTCCCTAGTCTTAGTTTTAAATGGATTTGACATTGGTTTATTTTTCTGTTTCTTCTAAGTTAATTGTAATTGAAAAACTATTCCAATAATATTTGATCTCTTTACGTAATCAAAATAACTTAAATTCTTGTCTAATTGTAACAGAATCACAAATTTAATTTTTATCACCACAAATCTGATTGTCCTTAACTTGATAAATTTATTTGTTTCTAGTTGGCTTCCACTCTTGTCTAATTTAAGTGTATTTTTCACTTATAATATTTGGGAACATTTTCTTGTCAGTGTTGGACAAGAAGTATTGTGTTAGTTTACTGTTTCTGATTTAATTACAAAGTTATTATTCCATAAGATTAAATTAATGTACAAATGTTATAGTCAAATAATATAAACTTTTTTTTTAATATTACAATTAATATCCTAGAAAAAACTTAAGAATTAAATAATAGAAAATCGGATATAAAATGTCATAACTAAAGTAACAACAGTTAAACATATTCAATCTAAATGATGCCAGTTGATTTTTTGAATTTTAAATCAAAATTCAAAATGTTAATATGGAATCGATTACTTCTGAATTAAACCATCCTTGAAGATTCAAACATGAACTTTTGAATATTCGACATCTATATTGGCAAATCACATAAATATTCCCATTTATTCTGATATCTAAAATAAACCTTATATTTGTTAGTCCTGAAATTCGAAAGTTTATATATTATTAAAGTTATTTACATTTTAAATTAGAATGATTTTATGGATTAATTAAAAGGAAAATTATCTTTTCCAGAAAAAATTGTTATTCAATTTTAATAATTAATGAAATGTCACTTAATGACTTTTTGCTATAAACTAACTTACACAAGATTGAGATGGAACTTTTCAAATGAAAATATGTTCATCTTTAGCTAAACTTGAATTAATAAACTTGAAATAACAGTGTATCTGGGTTCTGAATTCACTACAACGTGTCGTGTATGATTGTCAAACACTATGCAAATTGTCAAATCTCTCTCAGCTCTACTGTATAAACATGTGTTTATAAAAGCTAATAAAATACATTTTAAATTAAATATTTGTTCAGAGATGACAAGGACAGAAAAAAAAAGAATAGTTGTTTTTTGGATGGAAGTTTTGACGCCGGAAGCACTATTATATGACACTAAAAAGTATAAGATACTCAATAATATGTGCTAGAAGGTGGAGCTCCATCCTCACTGCATATTGCAAATATGCATCAGAAATATTGAAGATTTTGCATTTTTATTTTTATAACCTAATCTTCACTGACAAATAAAAATTCAAAATTCATACAATTTCTTCATTTCTAAAGGTTGCTTTATTTGTTCATCAGTTATTTTTAATATAGAATTTTGGCTTTTTTTTTTTTTTTTTAAATAAAAAAGTAGATTGGCAGAATTTTTTTAAAAAGAAAAATGTTTTCACTGATGAATAGATGTTGGACTTTTTTTTTATATAGTGATGAGTTATTTTATAAAACTCCTGAATTTGTCGTAATTAAGATATTTCTATAAGATTTTTTCTTCCATGTCTTAGTCATTACATATGTATACAATTAGGTATAATTTTAACTACTAGTGTTTTATTTTTTATGATGTCAAAAAAAGTTACCACATTTTTAGAAATCCTCTGAAAATAAATGCTTATGCTAGAGATAAACTGCGTAGAGAATTTATAAATTGTTGGAAGTAAATTTTGGATTTAAATATCAATAAAGAACTGATTGGTATCAAACAATTTTTACTAAGGCCAGCATTACATTATAAAAGGTATTCATAAATAAAACAAAATAATCTTTTAATACTACTATTACAGGACATAATAGACTTTATGGTTACCTTGGTTACATGAACTTACTACGGACGAAGCAGTAGTATCTATTGTGTCTATATGGCTACTGGTTTAAATAAATAAAAATAATAGTATAAAGTTAAAAAGAAAAAGATAAATTTGTGAGTTAGTTAATAATATCTTATTAATACCTAAAGAGACCTAATAATATCTTTGCTTTCTCATTACTGTAATTTTCTTTTTGGTATTCTTTTTGTTATAGAACATTTGTAATTTTCTAGGAAAAATTTTTTTTTTTGTAAACAATATTCCGAATATCATCATATAAGAAATTATACGATTCATATCCTCATATTAAGATTTTTGTCTTGAAATCCTTTACAATATAGGAAAAGAGACGTCTTTGATAAAAAAAATTCCATAAATGTTGTTGTTTTATTTTTAATTTATGTTGAAATATTACACTGTCACATTTCTCATTTAACTTGTTTTATAATTTTTTTTTTTTCATAGGACTTATATAGTGTAATGTTGGCATAAGTTGTAAAAAAAAAAAAATCGTTAAAGACTATTTATTAGTAAAATTGAAATATGAAAACTATTCTTTCCTATTTAATTCTTTTATACCTGATTTTTTTTACAACAGCCTGGATTAATTGTCCTTATGTATTTTTAATAAGTTTGGGAAAGTAATAACATACATTGTTGAATATATTATGTTAAATAATTAGATTCAAGAGTAATTCATTAAAAAAATGATTTCTGAATATCAGTAGGGATGCAGGTAATAGAAAACATCCCAGGCTATAATTATTTTATGTTTTAATATGTCTATTGATTAATAGCTGGTCATTTCTGTATCAATTTCTTCATATATTTATTCATAACCTGTTATTTTGTAATCATGAAACTTTAAATTAAAATATTGTTTTAATGTCATAACAGCTTCTCTGGATACTCAGAAAAAGTTCAAAATAATTAATTGAATAAATAAAAATCACCTATATTTAATAATGATTAAGCATTTAGTTTATTTATTTCTTTTATTCATTTCAAAAATGCCGAACTTATTAGCCAGCCATTGTTGTATAAAGTAATAATTATATAAATCAATTGTTTAGCCCTTAAATAATTGTTAGAAACTAATTTATTAGTTATCTCATTATTGATAAGTTATGTGTAATTTTAGTCAATTGACCTATTTTAAATTTAGGGAAATAAAGTTTACCGATTTTAATCTTTTTAATTTTTGTTCAGTAACTTGTTATTGCTTAAAACAACACAAATTTATTAAATTATTTATTGTTTACTATGTATATATTTTTTATTTATGGATAGTGTAGTTGTTTAGATAAAATAAATTATTGTTTTTAAAAAATACCAGTGATTTTATGATGGACAATTTCATGACTGACAAACTACGCCATTTAGCAGTAGGAAACCAATCTATACTATACAAGCATGAGTAAACTCAAGAAAAAATTAAATGAACTTGGAAATCTGTAAACTTCCAAATAAGTATGTTATTTTTTTTAATTATTGAAGGAAGTTAGTCGACTGTTCTACATATCATGGGAGACAAATAGTCAGAATGCAATCATTTTTAAGGATTTTATTGGTGCCAACATTTCAACCCAAGCATGTGGGTCATCATCAGGGCTTATTTCGAGCAGTGAAGGTGTTCAAACACTTTTAGTGCTTGAAACACTCCCTAATGATTACCCACATGCTTGGGTTTAAACGTTAGCACCAATAAAATTCTTTAAAATGACTTCAGTCCTGACCATTTATCTATCACCCATAATATATTATTTATTGTAACTAAACTAATTTTATTTAAACCAAAATATTGCTA